GTCAACTTGCAGTTTTTAAAATACTGGAGTTCGTTGCGGCACCAGGAAAAGATGAGACAGAAAAAGAAATTTTAGGGTGTTTCCTGTTTACACCTCCTCGCAGGTAAGTAAAGTGCCTCCTACAGGAAGGACACTGATGTGGAGAATGGCGTTTCATTTCTCAGCAATCGTGTGTTAACAATCTTGAGTGTGTGTGTTTTAACAATGTCACGGGGAACTCGGTGCAGGTACTCAGGTAGAAGACTCCACCTTGCACATAGGTCGCTACAACCACTAAATAATAGGTGGCCCTAGGTTCACTAATCCAACTAAGCATTGTCAAAAGAGTGATAGCCAATGTCAGAATCGATGGCTTCCGCGAAGCAAGAAAAGTGAAATCGAGAAGCGCAATCTATATCATGATGCTTGGATAGCAGACAATTGTCTAACCTATCTGCTTACTTAATTGGGAAGACCAAGTAGATCTGTATACCTTAGCAAACGCAGCATATTTTCATTCAACCGCCTTTTCTTTCACACGGTTGATGATTCCGTGTCCTTTCCACTTTTCTTTTGGTCAATACTAATTTAGGTCTCCGTCTTGGTGGAAAGACTCTACAGATGCAATCGCTTGCTGCAACTGATCTTATGCCAAAACCGGTGCAGCACACGCCCTTTAAATTGCAGCAAACCTGCCAAATTCATTGTCCACGATGTTCCAGAATAGACAACACTGCTGCACCTTATTTCCACCACAGTGGCATGATTCTGCGCTCTGTAAGAAAGAAAGAAATCGGTCTGTCTGCAGGTGAGCATGATACACTTTCGGGTAGTCTTTTAAGCGGAGATCTATTCACAGAGAGAATCGCTGCATTCCTAATTAAATTTCAATGGCAATTTCCTGGCGTGATTTACTTTGGCGATAATCGAACATTAAGGTTTGTGGAGAATAACTTAGCAATCGGACTAGTGATAAGGTTGTGAAACTTAAACAAAACAACGGTTTGTTTTTTTTGACCTCCCGCATTTTGAGATTGCTTTTGTCTATATTTAAAGTCCAATTCTGTACTAGGTTTTCAGACTGT